CACCGAGACAGCCGCGACCAAGAACCGAACGCGGCCGCAGCCGGGACAGCCGAAAGACGAGGCTGAGTCCACAACGACCAAACTGCATCGCCCGGCAGAAGAAACCGCACAGGGATAAGGCGGTGGTGACAGCATGGGCTTGCCATTGAACACTGTCCCGGCTCTTTTCTACACACTCAGGCCCTGTATCTACCCAACATTGATTCAATCAAGTGACATCGTGAAAAAAAGTCTGGCAGAATTTTGCATAGCCTGGAAGCCCTTTCAGGAAAGAACATCTCTACAAGCGCTTCTGTCTCCTCCAATGTTGTCCAGCTGTTCTCTTTATTTCACTTCTACATAATTTTTTCAATTGTTAAACTCAGAGGTATGCCAGTTTACAATGTTAATCTCTATAACTTCACCACAATACAGCATAAGGGAGGCTTTCTGAATTATCCATGCATCGCAGACATTATTAAAATAACCACTTCTATTGGATGGGTTGGCAGTCCTTCTCTACATCAACCAGCAAAGTAATGCTCAGTACATTTCAGAGGGTCGAAGGAGAAAGCACAAATATGGGACTGCAAATCCTCTAACACAAAAGGAGATAATCCTGTAGGGATAGCTTTCTACTCCCAAAAAGAAACAACTGGACTCAGAAACAAGAATGAGAAACAAAACTCAAGGTCCTGTTTTCAAATCCTGGGTTCAAACTTCAGAAAATTATTGTACATGGATATCTGACTTTTTCATGCACACAAAGACAATGAATAGGTTTTCTCTATGGTTACAGCCTACCCTAACATATCTCCTGTACTATATTTCCAAGACAATCCGAGAGGGACTGAACACCAAACCCACACATGGGACAAAGAAAGATTTTGTTGTGCATTTTCCTGCTCTTCTCTGCCTTGAAGAAGTTGGTAGCCCTGGACTCATAGGTCAATATTACCTTTTGCTCTGCAGAGGTGGAATTGCCAGCATTGCAAAGGCTGGAGGGGACAAATTCACAATTTCATTAGGCAGAAATAGTGAAGCATCTGCAGATTCCCAATGGCCATACAGACACACATATAGAGGAAAAGCACAACACACAGAGCCCACACATCACAGACAGAGACATCCAAAACGCCAGAAAGAAAAAACCCCATGCTAATAGAACATAAAGACACAGTATTCAGAACTACCTTCTTTCTATGGGAAAAGGGTTTTGTGTAATTTCATCCAGCGGGAGATTTGTCTAAGCAAGTGTGCCACTGAGCTATAAAAAGAACAAGAAGGCCATAGTCTGTTCTGAGAGCAAGAGACACAAGAGGAAAGCTGGGAGTGCATTCTTAAAGCCTATCAGAAAGGCCTGTGACAGAGAAGAAAGAAGAATGGCCGAAGGAAAAAAACAAAAGAATTTTTTTTCAACAACTATGTTTTTGGGGTGGAAGAAAAATTTTACACTGACTACGAATTGGCAGGAAACTGTCAATGATAACTAGTAAAAAATTTTCCCTGGAGGAATCAATTGCCACATGCTGCACCGTGGGTCCCCTCCTCCCATGGGCCGTAAACCCTCTGGCTGTGCAGAACCCATGTCAGTCAAAGGAAAGAGCGTTGAGCTGTCCTGCAGAGAGAGTCCCAGCATTGTCTGGGGCCATGTCCTCTGT